TCCGGGCGCCGTAAGCATTGGGCCCAGCGCTCGCCCCTGGTGACCCTCAGAGCCTGTTCATGGGCAGAGAAAATGGGGCACGGGGGTGGGAGGTGTCCAGGAGTGCAGGACGTCTCTCTCAGCAAGAGTCGTTTGGGCTCACAAACCCAGACCAGAGAAGCAGGGAAGGTGCCCGAGGTCACACAGCATGGAGACGGGCGAGCGGGGGCCAGAACACACAGGCACTGTGGTAGCCACAGAGGAGAGAGGGCAGGGGCTAGGTGGCTTTTAGCCACCATGAGGGACTTGGTAACTCAGGGAGTGTGAGTGGGATCAGGAAGAGGAAGCAGATGGCTGAGGCTTGACCGTGGCTTCCCGCTAAGGGGACAGTCAGGGTTCTCAACAGGGCTGCCTGGGAGGCGGTTTCCCGGAGGCCGTGTGAGCACTTCTGATCTATGCTGGGCCCAAGAGATTCCTGGGGCTCTGGGGGGCGCTCTCCTGGTTCTGCGCGCCAGGCCCCGCTGCCTGCCCGCTCCATGGTGCCGACCCTCCCCGCATCCTTCCTGCCCCAGAAAGCCGCCCTCTCCCGCGCGTGCCCGGAGCTCGCTGGCTCCCGTCTGGTATCACACTTGCCCTGTGTTCTTCTGAGCTGTGACTGTCCCTTGTCTGCGCTTGACGCTGGTGGTGGCTGGGGCGTCCCCATTGTCTTCCCGGTGCCTGGCGCCTCAGCCGCGCCCAAGGGCACAGTCACAGGACAGCGCCCGCCAACACCAGTGGCTTACAGCGCTGTCCTGCTGGCCGCCCCTGTGTCGGACGTGGGGGCTGAGCCGCCAGGTGGCCTGCTGGTCGGAGAGCTCAGCCACTCCCTCTGCCCTGCCGCGTGACCTTGGGCAGGAGGCCACCCCAGCGCCGCTGGCGCTTCCGTAGAGTGGAACCAACACATTTGTGCCACTGAATTTTTTTTTTTTAAGATTTATGTATTTATTTGAAAGTCAGAGTTACACAAAGAGAGGAGAGGCAGAGAGAGAGAGAGAGGGGCCTTCCATTTGCTGGTTCACTGCTCAGTTGGCTGCAATGGCTGGAGCTACGCCAATTCGAAGCCAGGAGCCAGGAGCTCCATCCGGGTCTCCCATACAGGTGCAGGGGCCCAAGGACATGGGCCATCTCCCACTGCTTTCCCTGGCCATAACAGAGCACTGGATTGGAAGTGGAGCAGCCGGGACTCGAACTGACGTCCGTATGGCATGCCGGCACCGCAGGTGGAGGATTAACCTGCTACGCACAGCGCCGGCCCCGCCACTGAATCTTCACCGTGGAGAGGTGTGGTCCAGGGAGTCTCAGCTCCCTGCAGGAGCTCGTTCAACATTCCACGGCTTAATGACTGGCGTGCTTCCAAAAGGTCACGGGAAACCGGGATTTGAAGATAAATCTACCTCAGTGGGGGAAAAAAATGAGATGCACACACCCACGGGGTCTTCAAAAAGCTCATGGAAAATGGGTGCTGGGAAAAAGGAGCTGAACGTGGCTCTCCCCATCTTTTGGCCCCCAGACTTAGTGAATTCCAGTTTTTCCCACATACACACTCAAAGCTCCTGCATACCAAAAATATTTTGTTGGCACCTGGTGCCGCCTGTGTGCAGGGTGCAATGCCAAATTCAAAGACGGGGCGGAGAGGCAGGGGGCCAGGGCGTGGCCTCCCGGGGCGCTGTGTGCTTTGGTTTGGTTTCCTTCAGTCACAAAGCACTGACATTCTGTGCACCTGTTTGTTTTCTGCCTCTGTGCACGCAGAAGGAAGTCCCACGCAGGGAGGTGGAAGCCCCTTTCCGTGTGGCGTGTGTGGCCGCCCTGTGACCTGGCCGGGCTGTGATTGATCTAACCAGACCAGCTGCACCGCCTTGGGCCAAATTCAATGCCGTGTTCCTGCTGTACTTTTTCTTAACCATTTGAGAGTCACGCACAGAGAGCTCCCATCTGCCCGTCCCCCCCTTCAAATGCCTGCAGCTCGACCCAGGTCTCCACATGGGTGGCAGGAACTCAGTGCCTTGAGCCGTCCCCGCTGCAGCCTCCCGGGGTCTGCATTGGCAGGAAGCTGGAGCCCCAGGACTCCGAGGATGGGGGGCGCGGCTGTTTTAATTTGCCAGGCCTGACGCGGGGCCCACCCGCTGTGCGTTTGTATCTGCATCAACATGGGCGTACCCGCCCTGTCTTCCTTGTGAGACCCTTCCCAGAGATTTCCCTTAGATATGTTAAATCATGCACATGTTGAGCGTGGGTGTTGCTTATGTGTTTTTGTTTTTTATTTTTTAATAAATGCACGTACGCTGTTGGCTACTGGACACATCAGGATCTAGGGCGTTCCTTCCTGAGCCTTGAGGTCACGTTCCCCGAAAGGCAGCCTCTGCTCTGATTCCTATCGCTGGCGACGGGTTTTGCCTGCTCTAGTTCAAGTCCACCCTGTGACTCAGCCAGAGAAACCAGGGCATCCGTCTCCACAAGGCCCACGCAGGGGAAGGGTCAGAGCTGCTGTGTTCATTTCAGCCCCGAACTGGGGAAGTCCGTCTCCACCCCCGGTGAGTGGGTGAACACACGTGTGGTCCATCCAAGCCACAGAGCTCGATTTCAGCCGTGAAAGGGAATGAACTTGAACTTGAGACACGCCCACCGGTGGGTGTGGAGGCTCTGCAGCGCCAGGATGTGGGAATCACACTTCCACGCTCCTCTCGTATCATCCGCGCGTGCTACTTACACGCTGGAAATACAGGCACCATGTCTGCCCTGTGCCAAGGTCCCTTCTGTCCCTGCCTCTCCGCTGATGCCTGGGAGCCAGATGGCCTGGGGCTCGGGGAGGGGCAGGGCCAGGGTCGAGGGCCCCCAGCAGCCTGCCGCATCCCCGGGAGAACCTGGTGTTCTTGGGCACGGGCTGCGGTGAGGAGCTGACTTTGGACATCGGTGGCCTGCACGTGGCCTTGCTGTCTCCTCAGCCCTGCCCACTCTGCCGCCTGGCTTCCTGTGCCTTCCTCCACCATCCTCCTCCTCAGACACCTTCCCCTGACGGTCCCCGACCCTCCCACCTATTGGCGTGTCACGCGTCAGCGCCAGCGTCCCCAGCACCTCCAAGGTGCTTGGTAGGAGGTGAGTGCGTGACCTTGGCCCAGGCGCAGATCAAGCGCGTGCCTCCATTTGCTGCCCGGCCAAATGGGAGACAGACGGAGGAACGGATGGCTCAGGGAGGCCACACGAGGTGCGCGGGACAGTCAGGCTCTTTGTCACCATAGCACCCATGGAGCCAGGACACGTAGTGTCCTCTGAGGGGTGCCGAGACAGGATGAGAGGCCAGGGCTCACCCCGCAGGGCTCGCACACATCCCCCTGGGTCGTGTCCACCTCCTAAGACGCCTTGGCCTGTCCAGGGTCGGCCTGCTGCCCTCCAGTGCCAGCCACACCCTCACCCTGCCCCGGTGAACACCCGGAACCTGCTGCCGTCAGGGGGCGTTGGAGAGCTTGCACCTGTCCCAGGTGCTGTCTCCAGGTCCCATCAGGCAGCCTGGCTGTGAGAATGACAGCCCCTTCCTCGGGACCCCAGCACCACTCGCAGCTCCACTCCCGTTGGGCCTGTCCCCCCCCGCCCCAGCCCTCTCCTGGGGGCTGTGGGAGCCTGGCCGCCTGGGGTGCGCTGACCTGGTGCACCAGCACTGTAGAGGGTGCTGGGGTCGCTGATGGCCCTGAGCCCCAGCTGCAGAGAGAGAGAGAGAGAGAGAGAGAGAGAGAGAGATCTTCCATCTACTGGTTCACTCCCCAAATAGCTGCAACAGCCAAGGCTGGACCTGGCTGAAGCCAGGAGCCAGGAGCTCCATCCAGGTCTCCCCCATGGGTGGCAGGGACCCAAGTCCTTGAGCCACCCACCACCTGTTGCCTCTCCCGGGTGCGTTGGCAGGGAGCAGGATCGGAAGCAGAGCAGCCGGGACTCACATTGGCGCTGTGATATGGGGTCTCAGTATTGCAGGTGGTGACTTACCCCACCACCCCACCACACCAGCCCCTGGACTTTCCTTTCTCGAAGGTACAGAGCGTCTGTGGCCTGGCTGGAATCCAGGTGGATGCGGCCATGCCTTTATGTGCACAGGGACGCTCATGGGGATCCTCCAAGCAAAATATGTAACGTAGTGTGTAGGTAGCCTACGTACTGGATACGGTGTTCCTTAAACCACTTAGTCGAGGGATAATCTTGGAATCTGGGGGTATGGGTTCCGGGACCCGCTCTGATGCCAGCGTCCGAGGATGCCCGGTCCTTTCTACAGAGTGGTGTAGGGTCTGCACAGCACCTGGCACACCGCATGCCGACGCCACATCGTGCCTGGGTGACCAGCAGTACCTAGTGCCAGGTGGATATGGTGTAAACGGTGGGAGTGCTGTTGGTCAGGGGCCAGAGGCCAAGCGAGCGGTCCGTGCATGGTTAGCGCAGTGGGGCTGTTCTGATGCTGTCTTTGATCCTCGTTGGTCGAATCGGAGCGTGCGGAGCCCCTGGATACGGAGGGCTGAGTGCGCCGTGACGTTGGCTCGTCCGGCAATCAGTGGCTCGCAGAAGCACATTGACAGTGCGTTGTAGAGACTCTGCCGCAGTCCAGGTCACCCCAGAGGGCTCCTCCCTCCCTGTGCTGAGCCCAGGCAGCCGCTCATCAAACTCCACGGATTTCGGGCCGTACAGCCTACCACAGTTGTCACCAACTTCTGTCTTGTCTCCCGCCTTTACGTCGTGCAATGTGGTGTCCTGTTAACTCACAGCCTCGCTCTGTTCTGGGTATGGGGGAGGTCCTCCATATACTCGTCCGGGATTCTGTCCGCTGGGACCTTCAGCCCTGGGCCTCAGCACCCCCAAGGCAAGCGTGCTGCCCGGGCCCGGCTGGGCTGGGTGTCTTTGCTGAGCTCATCCAAATGGCGAGACAGCCTCCTCCGCCCTGTGTGGCCACACTTCCTGCCCCTCGTGCCAGGCGTGAGTAACCTCTGTCCCCTTTCCCCTCACAGGGACTTCCTTCCCCGTGGCTCAGGAATCGTCACCCGGCGGCCGCTCATCCTGCAGCTCATCTTCTCAAAAACAGGTACGGTGGGCGGCTCCCAGCTGCGTCGGGAAATGACCGTGGTCCTGATGGATGTGGGGGCTGGTGGCCGGGTACTGGGGAGCTGTCGCCTGAGTTGGAATCCACAAGTTCATAGGAAGTGGAGACCGCTCAGTGAACACCCCCACAGCCAGCCCCGGGGTCCTCAACCGTGACCAAGCCACCACATGTCAGAGTGGCAGGTGACATGTTTTTGCTTAGCTCCACCCCCCCTTTTTTTTTAATATTTATTTATTTGAAAGGCAGAGTTACAGAAAAAGAGGAAGAGAGAAGAATCTTCCATCTGCTAGTTCACAACCCAGGTGGCCACAACGGCCAGGGCTGGGCCGGGACAAAGCCAGGAGCCAGGAGCTCCATCCGGGTCTCCCACGTGGGTGCAGGGGCCCAAGCACTAGGGCCATCTTCCACTGCTTTCCAGGCGCATTAGCAGGGGCTGGACTGGAAGTGGAGCAGCACAGACTCGCGCCAGCCCCTTTGCACACGTTGTGACAGTCACCCTGAGATGCAGAAGGACGCTTTCTCTGTAGCCACAGCCACGCCCCAACAGCAGAATCCTTCCTGCACGGTGCCCCAGGCCCAGTGCACCCTGGGTGCCGAGGCAGAACCAGGTTTCCGCAGACCCAGGTGCCTGCCCTGCGTGGGACTGTTTCCTGCCTGAGCCCTGGCCTTGCCTTCATCCTCTGGCCCCGCCCATCCTCAGTGAGAGCCGGGAGCAGGTTGGCCCGGCACCCACCAGCCAATAGGCTGCTTCCTCTGGGTTGAGGTGGCCAATCAGCTGTGTTGGGAGGAGCAGCAGTCAGGTTCCAGAAGTTAGGGCTGGGCCACAGGTAGGTTTGTTCCCACCGGGGCAGGGGTGAGTGTTTTTCCCGAGTTTCTGGGCGATGCGGCTGGTCCCCCGCCACACTAAAAGTCCTCCGTGGTGGGAGGAGCTGGGCCAAGATCGCCCGGGTTCTGAACACGGCTCCAGGGGAGGCACCGCGGCTCCAAGCCCGCCTTCCTCTCTGGACAGTGCAGATAACAGTAGCGCCTTGTTGAGCGCTCGAAGAAGGTGCCGCGTCCACACATGTGGAACAGAGCAGCCCCTGGGGAGGTGCCGCCCCCGACGGGCGCCTGGGGACGGAGCGCGGTTCCCCCTCACCTCCAGTGGCTGTCACCCGGGAGCGTCCCTGAGCACCCACTGAGTACCCACGGGAAGGCTGACTGCGGGGGCGGGGCTTCTCCGAGGAGGGGCCGGTGGGGCTGACAGGTGCGCTAGGGGGCGCTGGGGGAGCCGGAAGTCTCCTGGGCAGAGCCGTGTGTGTGTGTGTGTGTGTGTGTGTGTGTGTGTGTGTGTGTGTGTGTGAGAGAGTGTGAGCGCTCAGGCATTCATGCCCAGAGCAGCCCTCTTGGAGGAAGTGAAATTTTTTTTTTTTTTAATTTTTTTTATTTGAGAGGCAGACCTACAGACAGAGGGAGAGGCAGAGAGAGAGGTCTTCCTTCCACTGGGTCACTCCGAATGGCTGCAACAACTGGAATTTGGCCAAGCCAAAGCCAGGAGCTCCTTCCAGGGCTCCCACGCGGGTTCAGGGGCCCAAGGACCTGGGCCATCCTCCACTGCTTTCCTGGGCAGAGAGCTGGATCGGAAGCGGGGCAGCCGGGACTTGAACTAGCGCCCATATGGGGTGCCGGCAGTGCAGGCCAGGGCATTAACCCTCTGCGCCACAGCGCCGGCCCCGGAACTGAAATTCTTTTGACCCGGAGAAGCACGATGGGCCTTGGCGGGCTGGCAGTACCGTGGGCAGGGACCTTGGCCCGGTGCCCGGTGAGTGTTTCTGTGGCTGTGGGCACCCAGCAGGGACATCTTTAAAACCCAGCTCGAGGCCTCGCTTGCTTCGCTGTGGTTGCCGTGGAGAAGGAACTCCAAGGCGCACCACCAAGGCCGGAGTCTGGGAGCAGGAGGAGGGGTCGGTGCTGCGAGTGGGTGGGCCGGGACTGCTTTTGGAGACTGTTCATCAAGGCGACCCCCGGGGGCCAAATTCCAGTGCCAAGCGGCCGCCTTACCTGCCTGCCTCGGTTTCCTCATTTGCAGCTGGGGGCCGAGACCACCCCAAGGCTGGGCCTGGGTCCTCGGGCCCCTTTGACGCCCCCTCTCCTTCCCACTGCCCTTGGTGAACCGCTGCCTTGAGCTGGCTCCATTGAAAAGTTCCCTAAGCCAACGGCCACTGGGAAGCGTGCGGGCCCCCAATGCCCTCTGCTCCTGTTGGGCGCCGCCCGGAGCCTCATAAACCTTGCCTGGAATGTGTGTGACACGGCCCACTGAGCCCCCGCCCCCAGCTTCGGCTGTGACCTTGGCTCCCAGGCTCTGCGGCCTTGCTGGCCTCTGGGATGTCTCCTCCTCGTCTTCCGGGGCTGCAGCCAGTTTCCCTGCTGACCCCTGGGCCTGGGGCCTTTGTGCTCCCCGAGTCCCTGCATGGACACCGCAGCCCCGTGTCCCTCCTCCTCTCCCGCCGCTGCCCACCACTGGCCGCTGCAGTCGCGTCCCTGTGCTGTCCTGCTGGCCCTCTCCCCAGTGGAACAGCAGCACCCGAGGCAGGGCCGGGATGAGCCTGGTGCGCTCTGGCAGCACCTGGCCCCGGCACGTGCTCTGTCTGCAGAGGCTGTGCCAACAGCTGCCTGAGGGGGCCGAGGGGAGGCGGCAGGAGGGCGGGGCTGCCAACATTGGTTAGTTCAGCCTCTTCTGGGGAACCTGGCCATGGCAGCCCCCACTTTTTTTTTTTTTTTTTTTTTTTTTTTTGAGAGGAGGCAGAGAGGGGGAAAGGTAGAGACACAGAGAGAGATTCCATCTCCTGATTTACTCCCTTAATGCCTACAACAGGCAGGGACGGGCCAGTCTGAAGCCAGCAGCCAGGTGCGTGCTGGGGACCCAATGCTTGCACCCTCCCCCGCTGCTCTGAGTAGGGTCATTAGCAGGAGGCGGGAGTCAGGAGCAGGGCTGGGGGTTGGACGTGGGATACAGATTTATTAATTAATTTGAAAGAGCTATGGGGGGGGGAGGGGGAGAGGAGGAGATCTTCTCTCCGATGTTTCGTTCCCCCAGTGTCTGCCAGGGTCATGGGTCTCCCACACGGGTGCAGGGGCCCATGCGCTTACGCCATCTTCCCCAGCTGTCCCAGGCCACAAGCAGAGAGCTGGATCGGAAGAGGAGCAGCCGGGACTCGAACTGGCTGCTCCCATGGGATGCCGGTATTGCAGGCTGCAGCTTAACCCGTTGAGCCACAATGCCCAGTGGGCACGGGTGTCTTAACTCCTACACCAAACACCGGCCCCAGGCCCCTCTGTAAAGCCGACAGACCCAGCCGAGGGCCAGAGCTCAGACGTTCTGTCTCTTAAGAGGACACTAAGCTCAGGCCAGGGGCCACCACGGTGCCAGCCCGGGGCCATCCCCTTCCTGGGCCAGCGCCAACCAGGAATGGCAGTGTCACGGGCACGCCCCTCCTCGCTTGTGAGATCAGATCCTGTTAGATTGTGGGGTACCCAGGGCTCCCGAGTGTGTCTGAGCCCCGACTCGTGCCCCCCCGGGCCTGCCTGTCCAGGACAGGTGTGGGGAAGGCTGGTCTCACCTCCTGGACCTCTGGAGTTGATAACGTGCTGATTTTTCTGGGCTGGGAAACTCCTGGACAGAGCGTCCCTGTGTCACGTGTCTGAGACCCCCGAGGACTGAGAGCCGACCTGCCTCTGGCCTCGCTGTGGTCCACACTGTGGGTCTGATCAGCTTCTCCCAGCAGTCCAGGCCAGAATGCTGGCCCGTTTCAGTGTGGAGAAACTGAGGCACTGAACCTAGAACCCAGAGGGGGCCTGTCTAGGCCATGAAGCCACGTGAGGGGGATGGGGCGAGGGGACACTCCCGCCTCCCTGTCTCCTCTCCATCATCTCCTTGATCTCTTCCCAGAGAACTTTGGTGTTTGAAAAATCCTTAGGAAATGCCAGGGGCACGGGACCCTGTCTGCCCGTGGGGAAGGGAGGGCCATCTTCCGACTGCTTTCTGGTCTCTGTGGACCCCCTGAAGGCCTTTGTTAAGAAAAAACTATTTATTTTAAAGGCAGAATTAGAGAAAGAGAGAGAGGTTGAACTTCCATCCACTGGTTCACTCCACAAGTGGCTGCAATGGCCGAAGGTGCACGCATCTGAAGCCAGGAGCCAGGAGCTTCTTCCAGGTCCTCCATGTGGGTGCAAGGGCCCAAGGACGTAGGCCATCCTCTGCTGCTTTCCCAAGTGCATTAGCAGGGAGCTGCATTGGAAGTGGAGCAGCCAGGACTCGAACTGGTGCCCATGTGGGATGCTGGCGGCGCAAACAGCGGCTTTACCTGCTGCACCACAGCGCTGGCCTTCTGAGAGCCTGTATTAGAAATGGAAGGGCCTGCACAGGGGCCCTGTGGCAGACGGAGCCTAAGGGGTCGGTGGTCTCCATCAAGAGGCTGCTGGCTTGGCCGGCACCGCGGCTCAATAGGCTAATCCTCCGCCTGTGGTGCCGGCACACTGGGTTCTAGTCCCAGTCGGGGCACCAGATTCTGTCCTGGTTGCTCCTCTTCCAGGCCAGCTCTCTGCTGTGGCCCGGGAGTGCAGTGGAGGATGGCCCAAGTACTTGGGCCCTGCACCCCATGGGAGACCAGGAGAAGCACCTGGCTCCTGTCATCGGATCAGTGCGGTGCGCCGGATGCAGCGGCCATTGGAGGGTGAACCAACGGTAAAGAAAGACCTTTCTCTCTGTCTCTCTCTCTCTCTCACTGTCCACTCTGCCTGTCAAAAAAAAGAAAGAAAGAAAGAAAGAAAGAAAGAAAGAAAGAAAGAAAGAAAGAAAGAAAGAAAGAAAGAAAGAAAGAAAGAAAGAAAGAAAGAAAGAAAGAAAGAAAGAAAGAAAGAAAGAAAGAAAGAAAGAAAGAAAGAAAGAAAGAAAGAAAGAAAGAAAGAAAGAAAGAAAGAAAAGAAAAGAAAAGAAAAGAAAA